GAGACAGAGACAGAGACAGAGCGTGAGCAGGGGAGGGGCAGAGAGAGAGGGAGACACAGAATCTGAAGCAGGCTCCAGGCCCTGAGCTGTCAGCACAGAGCCTGATGTGGGGCTCAAACTCATAGACCGTGAGATCATGACCTGAGCTGAAGTTGGACATTTAAATCTTTTTTTTTCAACGTTTATTTATTTTTGGGACAGAGAGAGACAGAGCATGAACGGGGGAGGGGCAGAGAGAGAGGGAGACACAGAATCCCAAGCAGGCTCCAGGCTCTGAGCCATCAGCCCAGAGCCGGACGCGGGGCTCGAACTCACGGACCGCGAGATCGTGACCTGGCTGAAGTCGGACGCTTAACCGACTGCGCCACCCAGGCGCCCCTGAAGTTGGACATTTAACCAACTGAGACATCCAGGCGCCTCAGGAAAGCTGTTTTGTTTGCTTTTTCAACCCAGGGTTTCCCAAACTGAGGTGGCCATGTAATCATCTTCCCTATCCCTACCATATACCTGCAACAACTATAGAACCAGTGGCCCAGTGCAGAACCCACTTTGGGAAATTCTAATGCCAGCCTTCCACCAAAAGCAGTTAATCTTGCTTTCATTGATTTAAGCCTTTCCTGTTTCTTGGGGCTAATCTCACAAAATAAGGGGATGCCTGCCCAATAGGGTCTTCAAGAAAAATATACTTGATGGGGATGAAGATTTTCTTAAGACTTGATGATGATGCCCAGAATAGATTAAGGATTTGCTAGAATGTGGAAGAAGGGAGAGTAGAATTTGAAACAACAACAGACAGGGTTTATCAAATTTTTATTTGTTTTCTAGTCCAAGGACCAAAGCCAGGGATGAAATGTAATGGAGAATGGTCAAACCAGACCCCAGTCACAGATACATTTTTTTTGAGTGAATGAATGAACAGTCTATCTGGTCAAAAAGTTGGGATACTGAATGGATGCCCGCATATGTGCATGCGTGCATACATGCATGCATGCATGAATGAACGATCCAACGACTGATCCCCTGGCCCCAGACTCTTTCTACTCCATTTTATGCTATCTGCTATGGAGATAGATATCTATGTTTCTTCTCAAAACCCACATTTCATCTTCTGTTCAGGAATCCTAGGTGGCTCTCCACTGCCTTCAGGATAAAGTCCACATACTTTGTTTGACCTGGCATTTAAAATCCTGCAAAACAAAACTCCAACCTACCTTTCCATCCCTTTCTCACTATTCCCCATTGGGAACCCAACCCTTATTCTAGCCACACTTACCATTCCCCAAGCATCCTATGTTAATCTTTCTCCCTTTTTACCTTTTCTCAAGCTACCTCCTTGGCCCCCACTGTTTACTTACTCAATCCTAGCAATGCTTTGAAGCTCAACTTAGAACCTGCCACCCATGTTAAATGGAAGAAGCCAGACCTAAAAAGAAGACACTGTAAATGATTCCATTTATATGAAGGTCAAGAACAGGCAAAGCTACTGTGGAAAAAACAGAACTGTGGTTGCCTTTGTGACTGGAAGGGGCACAAAAGGGCTTGGGGGGGGGCAGGGAATAGAAATATTCTCCATCTTGATTCTGGTGGTGGTTACACGAGTGTATACTTCCATCAAAATTCACCAAATTGTACATTTAAGACCTGTGCACCTATCTGTATTGTGCATTTAACCTAAAAATAAAAATCTTACCACTTAAGTCTCCCTGGCAATAATGCACTCCTTTGTCTATTATTTTCTCGAAGCACTGTGTCCATATAGGTAGCACATCACTTATGTAGACTCCCATGAGAATTCTTCATGAGGATGTCTGCCTACCCCACTGGGTGTGAGCTTCCCCCCAGGGCCCTCCCATAGCAAGCACTGAATTAACATTGGTGAGAGTCAGTTGAGGCCAGATTTCTGAAAATAAAAATAACAGGAGCCATCACGTATTAAGCCCCTGCTGTGTGTCAGGCTGTATGCTAAGTTCCTTGCACACATATTTCAATATATATACATGTGTTTAAACATCTATATCTGTATGTATACATATACACAGGCGCATGCATATAACCCCCATGAGATAAATACATAGTAGCCATTAAGTCTGAAAACAGACAAATACTAATAACAAAGAATAACCCAATGTGAACGGTTTAGCTATGTTACATTATAATCCAGGCAAAATAATAGTATATTTCCAAACCTTATGGTCAGCATGCGATTGTGTACATGCGTGTATGTATTATTACCAATCTTCATTTTACACTGAGATACTGAGGCCCAAGGTCACAGAAACGTGTAGTGTTGGCAATAGGATACAAACCCGGGTGCCTGATCTCAGAGTCGTCGAGCTGGCCTATTTCCAAAGTGGCCTCACATAAATCCAGAAGAAATGTGAGCTCTTTCTGGCCAAGAGACTTGAAAGCAGTAGTTTCCCTGAAACTGCAAAGCGCGCGCGCGCACGTGTGTGTGTGTGTGTGTGTGTGTGTGTGTGTGTGTGTGCGCGCGCGCATGCGTGCACCGAGAGGTGTAAAGACTGTTTGGGGCTCCCACACCTCCAGGAAGGCGCTACTTAGCAAGAGGAGGTCTTGGGTTTAGGATCCTAACTGCATCATTTATCAGCTGCGTGACATGACCTTCGGCAAGTTATTTAATATCACTCCGCCTGGGTTCTCCCACCTTTGAGGTCATGTAGTAACAGTGCCTGATCTACCTCTTGGTGTTTTAAGGGAGGATTCAATGAGATCATGCATGTAAACCTCACAGCATGTCTAAGTTCTCAGTAAATGCTGGTTAAGTTTATTATTACCGTTTTGCTATTTTTGGTATGGTTACAACTCCCTGCCCTCCTCCGCCGCCCACGCTCCCACTCCTCCCGGGGGCGCCCCCCCCCAACACTTCTTTGGCTTGCTCTCAACGTCTCCCTTTCCTCAGAGGGTGGAAACCTAAGATATGGCCGTCTAAGAGCCGTTGTGACAGTTTAAATCATGAACAGTTATTACAGCAGCCAGCCAGCACAGGGAGTAAAAAGAACTAACCCGTTGGTGGGTGGTGACTAGGGGATCGCTAACTGATTTGGGAAAAACATGAATCTTGGTTTTCTTAAGAATCCTTGCCACCTGCTTTGGGATTCTCCTTGCCTGGTTCATTCTGAAATGAGGTGGTTGGAAGCCTTACATCAAGAGGAATGGGGCCACCGTGACCAGAGTGCCCACCTTTGAATTGCAGGTGAGGTCCAGGCCTTGGAGGTCAGGGGCTGGTGGGTAGACTGAACCCCTTCGGCTGAAACCTAGCCCTTTGGGATCCTGCGTGAGGGGGGCTGGCTGGGGATGAGGTTCCGCTCTTTGCAGGAGTTTGGATCTTGGTGTGCCTGCTCCTTAGCCTGAAACAGCCCTCTGACAGTTGGAAGGCATGGCAGGGAAAAAACCCTGTTGACAGTTCAAGCTTTGGATCTTTTTGATTTGTAGGGTCAATAGGCCAGTATTATCTGAAGTAAAAATAACCGTGCTCATCGAGAGAAAAAAAAAAAAGAAAATGCAGATAAATATAATGAAGACTAAATTAAGTAACAATACATTTAATAAATAACTGAAAAATTTGCATCCAAAGAGAACTACTGTGGCTCTTCCCTACCTTTTTCTCTGCCTACAGGAGGGCCACAGCCCCCGGGGTTAAATGCACAGGCTCTCTGAGCTGGATTCTAATCCCAGCTATACACAGGTGGCCTGGTCTCCTAAACTGTCTGAACCTCATTCCCCCAGTTGTAAAATGAAAATAAAAACCGCATCTATGATATGAAAAAGTTTATTTAGAAGGTTTTTTTTTTTTTAAAGAAATGATCTATGTTGTAGGATTGACATAATCCCTGTAATTGACTCAATAAATGTCAGCTCTCATCGTGGCAAATATGTATCCTGACCAAAAAAAAAAAATGATATCACTGCACGGATACTGTTGTTACCTGCTGTTTCTCTCCCATTAGGCAACAACGTGAACCTCTTTCCAGCATGAAATGTTCTACGAACATCCCCGGGGCCGGTTTTAAGAGGTAGGATTGCAGGATCTTAAGGGCAGGCACAATTTTATGACATTTAGTCCCTGTGACCGACTGTTCTCCAGAAAGGTGGTACCAAGTTCCTTTCCCACCAGCAGGGAACAAGAGTGATTCCTTCTCCACGCCGTCACCAACACTGGCCTTTATCATTTTTGCCCATCTTTAGGCAATTATTCTTGAGCAAGGGAGTTTCTTTTATCTGTCTGATTCAACTGGGAACTCCCGGAGGGCAGGGCAGGGAGGTAGTCCCTTCATCTCCCTGTAGCTCGGGCACCTAATACATGTTCTGCCCACAGTAAACACTCAAGAAATATCTGAACTGAGTCTCAAGCCAAGAGTGACTTTTTAAGTGCCCTGGGCAGGCAATTCTTATTAAATGCGAGACCTAGCAACTAAGGATTCTACCTAGATGAGTTCAGGGACTCTAACACAGAGGAAGACAAAGGCATTTCCAGAAGCACGGGCGCTGATATTCAGATGTTAATCAGCCAAGTGATAAGTTCTGAGATCAGCCTGGGTTGGGGCCACTCACCTGCCAGCAGACTTGCATGAGATCCACTCCTGTTTCAAAGACTTGAGGGAGCTCTGAGCCAGGATACTTGGGTTTCGCACTGTCACCATTTTGGCGGTGGCCCAGGACACATCACTTCATCCTTTTGGGCCTGGTGTCCCTATCTGTTTGGTGGGGAGCTTAATAGTGTCTCCATCGAGGTATATCAACAACCATGGGGTTCTGCCTCCCTCTCCCTTCCAACACTTACTGAGGGTTTATTATGTGTGCCGGCACTGGGTTAGCATGAGACATAAAGAACTCTGGAAGTCCTGGCTTTAAAACCCTTGCTCTGAAACACTGTCACTATGTGCCCTTGGCAATGGAACTGATGAGACCTGCCTTGGAGGGTTTGGTGGGAAGATTAAATATGCTCATCTGTGCAAAGCACTTAGGACAGTACTTGGTACCTAGTTAAGCACTCAGCCTCAGCAATGATTATCTGATTTAAACTACACGGTGACCCTGTGAGGTAACTATTTATTATTTACCCCATTTTATAGATGGAGAAACATGGGGCAGAGACGTGACACAGCCCGTAAGGAGAAAGCCGGGATTGATCTCCCATCTGTTTGACTCAGGACTTTTTCATTTAGAATAGGAAATATTAATGTTAAAATTGTTACATTAAATAGTAAAGCTGGAGAACGCTCCAGATCCCCTAAGCCAATCCCCTCGCCTGACAAGGCCCAGAGTGGAAGGGGCTTGCCCAAGGACATACAGCAGGATGGTGACACAGCAGAGCCGGGGCTCCAGGCTCCTGATGGCCATTCAGGAGCCAGATGCCCGGTGCCCAGGGGTAAGGAGGCCTCTCCCATTGGGAGGAGCCGGGGAGCTTATGGGGGTGTGAGCATCTCTGCAGCCCCGACCCAGGCCAGGTGCCAGGAGAAGCCACTGTTGTCACCGGCCACTGGAATTACTCCTTTTGTCCCTAATTCTACGTGCGGGTCTGCTCCCAACTCCTGCCTGGATTTTCCTCCCTGCAGCTGCCCTCAGTGCCAAGGACGGGTGACCAAAAGTGTCTGCTCTGGTTGCTGAGTCAACCTGTTCTGCATTTCAGGCCCTGAACTACCCCTGCCCCTGCCCACCCCCACCCCCCAACCCCCCAGCGGCTCACGCCTTCCCGGTCTTGTTTGCAGGCTAGTTTTTTGTAAGGATATGTTTTATTTAACCCAACACATGTAAAAAAAAAAAAGTGTGATTTCAACATACAGCCAATACAAATAAAGTGTTAACAAGGCATTTTATATTCTTTTCTTGTACAAGTCTTTGAAATCTGGAATTGACTTTACACTTAGCACACATCTCAACTTGAATGCTATGTTTCCAGGGGCTCGTAGCCAACAAATGGAAACAACCCAAATATCTGTGAACTGATGACTAGATACGCAAATGGTGGCATACACTTTCAAAGGAATATTACATATCATTCAGCCATAAAAAGGAGTAAATGCAAGATGAAGGAAACCTTGAGAAACTACGCTCAGTGAAAGAAGCCAGGATCAAAAGGACGTATCTTAAATGACTCCATTTATATGCTATGTCCAGAATGGCCAAACTCCTAGAGACAGAAGGTACATTATGGTTGCCAGGGGCTGGGGGCAGGGGAGAACGTGGAGAGATTGCTAACAGGTATGAGCTTTCTTTCTGGGGTGATGAAGTGTTCTGCATTTAGTGGTGACGGTCGCCTAACCTTGTGAATACACTAACAGCCACTGAGTTGTATACTTTCAAATGGAGAATTTACTGGTATGTAAATTATATCCTAATAAAGCAGCTAGTTAGAGAAAAATACATGAAAAGTGTGATGCAGTCCTACCAAAACAACAAAGTGGTCCTTCATAGGAAAATATTTTACGCTGAGTCAGTTTCCAGATTTAAATATAAGTTTCATTAAATTAAATTAAGTCTAAAAGCCAGGTCCTCGGTGGCACTAGCAGGCCCCAGTGCTCTGCTAATCCCCCTCAAAGTCCTAGGCAGTGGGCATTCGGTTCTCCTTTGCTGACGGACACACAGCTCTTAAAGGCGGCACCGCGGTGTGAACCCAGATCCACCAGCTCCGGTGGCCACATTCTTAGCCACTGTTTCCCGGGGTTCATTCATTTACTGAGTGCCCACCGTGGACCTGATATTCATTTGGGTGCCCCCTCTCGCCCGGCCTTCCTCCTCACTGGAGCCTTCCTGCAGGGGTGCGTAATCTCCCGGGAGGTGGCCCCCCCTCAGAAGCTTGCAGCCTCACATCTGAAATGGCAGCTGCGGGGCAGCGGGCCCAAGGGAGGCCCGGGCCACTGGGAAGGCGCTCCTCGCCAGCCACGCCTGGCAGAAGGGAGGCCTAGGCACAGCCATCGCAGGAGCAGGCCCCAGCAGTCAGCCCACTCGCCGTTTCTCCCCATCCCACGGGAAACTACCACCTGGGGTTCAAAATCAGCCTTCATCAGCCACAAATGTCATTTGACTCCCAAACGGCCTATTGCCCTCCTCCTCATCTTCCAGGGCGTTTTTGTAAACCCCTCTTCTTCCTCCAATCAGGGGGATGGAACTTTCCAGGCTTAACTTCAGGCGGGGAGGGAATCAGGCTGTTCTCAAGGAAGCTGAAGAGAGTTAGTACCCGAAGCCCCTATCTGAGGCCTTGCCCATCCCGGCTTCTGCCGAGAACACTGCCCCCCGAAAGGCTGCGAGAAAGAGGCTGGTTCCACACTCGAGGTCTGGTTGCCTCAACCCAGGTCGAACCGGCAAATTCCTGTCAACACCCCTCCCTCAGAGAAGTGAACGGTAGTTCTAACCCCCGGCCTTCAGGATAAAGCACAGGCTGGGAGAAACCAAACATTTGAGGGTTGTGGAAAGACAGCCGCTCCCACCCCTGCGTGCCTCTGTGACAGCTGTCGCTGTGGGAAGAAGCCAGAACTAGGGGGAAACATGTGCTACTGAGTCGAACACAAATGACGAGTGATCATTTCTCCCTAGCTTCAACTCCTGGGCCTTGTGGGGAGGTGGGCCTGACTTGAGGAAGGGGATATAAAAGCAGAAGTTAGTTACGACATCTAGATTTTTCTTTTGGTCTGAGTCCCCGAGACTGTTTGAGCCAAGCTCAAGTTTGTTTGAGGGATATCCTGGGGGTTACTTTTTTCTTGACTCTCGAGTATAATGTATGTTTGTGGAAGGAATTTATCAAAATCTCGAGAGGCAGTAAATACCCGAAAATTCAAAAACCACGTTACCTCACCATCCAGTGCTGATATTTTAAACCTTCCAAACTATTCTCCCGTCCACAAGTGGACGTTCCCCAACAAAACCGGAAATGCACACAAGGTGCTATGTTTTATAAACTTGCTTTTTTTCAAAAGACCCGTATCGATGGGTTTTCTTTGTTGCTGTCGTTTAATGTTTATTTATTTTTGAAGGGGGAGAGGGGCAGAGAGAGGGAGGGAGCCACAGAATCCGAGGCAGGCTCCAGGCTCCGAGCTGTCAGCGCAGAGCCCGACGCGGGGCTCAAACCCGCGAACTGTGAGATCCCGACCTGAGCCGAAGCCTGGCGCTTCACCGACTGAGCCACCCAGGCGCCCCGAGTTTGTTGCTGTTGTTTTAAATGACCATATGGATCGTTGTGCAGCACACTAGGTGAATTATTACTAAAACCAGAAATGATCCCCGCAGCCTCCTGGGCGATGAACATGATTAAGCCCAGTGACTTCAGGGTGGCTTATTAAGGAGATAAATTCCATTTCTTCTCGTTAAGCGTGGCTGTTAAACACTCACAGCCCAAGATGAAAGGGAGGGGGCGTGGCCGAATCAGCACTTCGGATCAGCCACCTGTTTTATTAAGCGTGCCCGTGTGTCCAACACGGTAGAACGAAAAGAAAGGTGCTTGTGTCGACTGGGACTGTATCTCACCTCTGGCCCTTCCCCTGCCCACCTCAGCCCGAGAGAGCTTGAGGCTGGGGGAAAAGGGCCCCGGGAGAAAGCACCTCACAGAACTAGAAGGTCGGAAAAAAAAAAAACCAAAAAACCAGGAGCTCAAAAAAAAAAAAAAAAAAAAAAAAACCCCCAGCACAAAAAAAAAAAAAAAAAAAAAAAAAGTGGGGAAGGTGATAGGAACTTGCTGTCTTTAGAGACCAGTTTCTGGCCCTCTGGATTTTCAAAGAGCGTACGTACAAAACCTCCGCTCCGGGCCGGTTGTCTGCATGGCGTCTGCCCTCCAGTGACCGGACGTGGTGAGCTTACGGCCTTTGGCGATTAAGAGGCTGCCCTTGACCTGAGCTGAAGCGGCTCCCACCTGCCCACTGAGATGAGCCGCCCATTTCTCTCAACCTGTCCCTTGTCCTTCCCAGCGAAGAAACCAGAGTTGCCTGGGACAATGTCAAACTTTGCGAGGTCGTAAATGACCTATAAAGATCCTGAGACAGAATGCTCAGGAAAGAGGAAACGCTAATTAAGGAAATCCTGAATGTCCTAAGCCTGCTCATGAATAAGAGGGACATAATAACAGGCAAAATGGAGAAGCTCGTAAATTAGGATAAAGCCCCAGCCTCGGCGCGGGTAGGACCTGGCAGATGGGAACCCAAGGTTCATTTCTGGGGTTAATGGAATCCTGCCCGGTCCTCGGGATTGCCTAACGCCAGGCACGGTGTTTCCTTCCTGCCTCGCCGGGAGACGTGAGTAAGTCTGAGACAAGTGATCACGGCACAGTCACTGAAAGCCAGAGTGATACTTGCTCTGGGCCACAGAGTGAAGTGGGTCACCGGAGATGGTTAGAACTCCAAGCTGTGTCTTAGAGAGGTGCTCCCAGAGCAGTAAATGACACCCCCTCCCTTTCCCTCTCCCTATTGGGCATCTTTGTCTCTCAGTCATTTATCACAGGAAACAAGGGACAGGACTACCTAGGGCTTCTTCTTCTTTTTTTTTTTTTTATTTTTTTTTTAACATTTATTTATTTTTGGGACAGAGAGAGACAGAGCATGAACGGGGGAGGGGCAGAGAGAGAGGGAGACACAGAATCGGAAGCAGGCTCCAGGCTCTGAGCCATCAGCCCAGAGCCCGACACGGGGCTCAGACTCACAGACTGCGAGATCGTGACCTGAGCTGAAGTCGGACGCTTAACCGACTGAGCCACCCAGGTGCCCCAACCTAGGGCTTCTAAAACCCCTTTCCCTCCCAGAGCTCCAGGCTCTGCACTGTGGTCGCTACAAGCCTCCAGGCAAAGGATCAACACATTCAGCTAAAGGGAGACACTCTGGGATCAGAGACGTTGACTGACTGGGGTCCACTCACACAGCAAATGGGGAGGGGGCGGGGGAGGAATCTGTTTCATTTGCTTTCCACCAAAGATTCTGTTAAAGATCCCACAATTTGATGGCTTAATATAAGCAAAATGGAAACCCCGTGACTCAATCCGCGTTTTCATGACTCAGAATCTGGAGAAAATTGGGAATGTCACATGTGGCACGTCTAATACCAAGAGGTTTCTTCACACCCTGATGACTGTATCTATGCAGACTCTTCATCAATAAACCTTAACACTAACAACAGCGAAGGAAGGGTATCTGACCCTGACCGGACCCTTCTCTATTCCAGGCATTTACAGATGCCTATGTTTTCTCACGTAGTTCTCACATCCAAGCTGGGGGATAGGGGGTGGGGGAGGGGGTGGCGGGGGATCCAGGCTCAGAGAGGCGGTGTGACCGCCCAGGATCACACAACGTCACAGCCTAGACTCAAACCCTGGGCAGTTGGGTTCTAGAGCCCAGTTTCCGAATTGTACGATTACAAGCAGATTTTGGCACTGTTCCAGATGCAGGCTGGGGTCGAGGTTAAGATCACGGGCCGTGAGCCAGAAGCACCTTGGAGCCTGTCTTGGCCACTTGCTTTGGGGCGAATCGCTTTGCCTCCCTGAGCCTCAGTTTCCTCATCTGTAAAATGGGGCGTGGAGGGGGGAGAGACAATAGCTTTTGTGAGCATTAAATGAGATACTTCAAATACAGTGCTTAGCTCCCTGGGCTGGGAGTGCCGGCTTCTGGCAGCACCCAGGTGGGAGGGGTCGGGGAGGGCCCAGGCAGAGCTCTTAGAGGAGCCGTGGAAAGCGGGGCTCATCATAGCCACAATTTCGATGAAACCCGTAATTATAACCGCTCCTGCCACCCCTAGCCCTGGGGCAGTGATAGGATCTTTGCAGCTCTCCAGGGTCAGGTCTGATCACCACACGGATGGGCAGGCGCAGGGTGCCGCGGGAGACGGGTGGGGGACAGGTGGG